AGTTTTATTAAATATTCAGTGTAAAGTCGCATTTGTAAGCGACAGAATTTCATCTTATAAATAAAGGCCAAAATGGCCCTTGAGAGCGACATGCTCCCTTTGCTTTATTAATTAACAAGTCCCAGTTCTATAAAATTGCCCATAATAACACACTAACATTATACCCTTATAACCATAATAACGTTAATAAAATCGTTCGCTTGATTACTTGATCACGTGACTTAACCGACCTAACTTTGTTGAACCCAAGTAACCGAAGCCTTAAACGTCCACCAGCCAAATCTAACACGCCTCTTTCGTAAGGTTACTTACTATCAGTTACACGAGAACTTGGATTGTGGAGCGACCGAGTCGCAGTTATCCCTCCCATAACAATATAGAAAAATTGACCAAAACTATATTAATTTTCTTACACAAATGACTTCACCTTCTTTTCATATTGGTGATATTCTATTACCATTTGGACGATCTGTTGAACATTATTTATATTCTCTTCTTATACAACATCCGTTATAAGTTCAAAGTTATAAATAACATGATATACTGTATTTAAAATTTATATATTTTAAGTTATCATGGTGTCACATTTAGAATTCACCTCTTGATCGAATTCAAGGGACGGGTAGTTATAGTATGAAGACTATAACTATGATGAAATGGTGAGTTAATGTAGCGTCAATATGATGACTAAACAAAGAGGATTTAAATAAGGCTTATTGAAAGAGGCAGATAAACGATTGTATATAAGGATACAAAAAGTTAGTATTCAAGTTTTAACAATGGACATTCTAAGTTACGTGGTCACGTAATAACGTTTTTGGGTTTTATTCAAATAGATAAAGAAATTTAACGTGTATGAAGACACGGCTAATTTATCTAACCGATAAAATAACTAGGAAATACAAGAGAGATAAGAAAATACTATTTCTATAGGTGAGAGATCAAAGGCAATCGAAGTCTATTCTCAGCAAGGCGAAATCGAAGGCCCTTTTATACCTAATTCAAAGGAAAGTGCTATCTATTATTCTAGTCTCTCGTTGGTGTTTACTATTTTAAACTAATAATTATTTAATAAAATTCTATATCATAGAGAACCATTAAAATTATAGTCGCATGCTTTAAGAGACGCGATGTAATTTACCTTTACTTTTACATTGTCTCACAGATCATGCACATTTATGAACATGCGTGACTGCGGCATCAAGTGACCTATCGAAGAGAATTTTAAACGTGACAACGGTACCGATATAAATGTAATAAATAAATATATATATATATATACGTATATACTAAGATATATAAGAAATTCTGACAACCATTTTTTTTTGCAATGCTCGTGTAAACTATGTGGGTCAAAAGCGATTATAATTTTTTTTTTTTGGGCGGGTCAATAAAAATGGGTCAAATAGTCAAAAACAATGTTTTTGTATTATTTAAAGTTCAAAAAAAAAAATTTTTTTTATGATTTTTATTTAATTCAACAATACTATAGAATTAAATTAAAAAAATTTTTTTACTGAATTTAATCAGATAGTTATTGAGAATCATTGCTAGAAGTTTTAAAACTTAGAATTTATTAACATTATCAATTTTTTTATTGGCTGTTTTCTTTCTAACACAAATAAATAAAACCATATTGTTATTTAAATAAATTACTCAAGAGACATCAAGGGTATTATTTGCTAATCTAATTGTAATTCCACTTATCCAGATTTTTATACAGTCATCCTCCTCTACAGTTACCTCCTATATAATCACACCCTCTTTATATATACCATATTTTGAAAAATTATTGGCAATATATTTATTAAAAAAAAACTTTGTGAAATCACATTACTATTTAAAATTTTATAATCACATCTTTTAGGCAACTTGAAATTAAAACCTCATTTAACATTATTTTTTTAAAAAATTTGCACAGAGGGGAGGGGGAAAATTAAACAATAAAATTAAACTAGGTTCAAATAAACCAAATTTAGGTTCATCATAATCTAAATCAGGTTGAAGTTAAACCTAAAGATAATTAACTAGCATTTATTTATTAATTTATTTTATTTTCTTAAACGTAATTTATTTCAATTATTTTATTTGCTAAAAAATAAATTGTATAATTTATATATTAGTTTTTTTGTTTTTTATTTGTAGTATTAGTGTTACTATTTTCAGCATTTGATTTAGTAAATTTTTTAGGTGCTCTTTTGTACTATGTTTTTTCATTATTTTTACAAAATGAGCATAATGGATATATGGTTTTCCACTCACTTTTAAGTATATCAAAATGTTTAATAAGACTTTCAGATTCTCTACACCAATAACAAATATCAAATTTTTTAAGCCACCATGAAAAATATGTTGATTTAATAGGCAAATCACAGGTAAGATTTAGTATTATACTTAAATGCTCTGAAAGTTCATGATCTTCTGGTAGCAATTGTGATCCACAACTATAATAAAGACTATCAAGAGTAACTTGAAGTTTAATTTCCTCATCAGTTGTTAAAGCAATATCACTGTAGATATATCGCATTTTGCTACAATATTCGCATATTATGGTGCATCTAATTCTTGTATTAACAAATTGGCCTAGTTTTCTTTTACTTGTTTTATTATCAATAGTTATATTCATTGCTGATAGGCAAAATTTTTCAGAAGTTGGTTTGTCATAAATCATTTCAAATTCTTTATAATGATCTTTTCTATTAATATTTTAAATAAATTAATCTAGTAAAAATATTTAACAATTTTAATTTAATATTACCATTTTCAACCGGCTCTGAGTTAGAAATAAAAAATAAACTTTAAAAGTCATCATAAGGCATACGAACTTTCTTGCATATTTTGCAATCATGTCTGTTACATTTTATTATCTAATAAAATAAATAGTTAGATTAATAAATTAAAATTTAATTATAGAAATTTATATAAACTATACTTGAAACATATAATTTCTAATATGGCAATGACTTTTTACAAAGTCTTGATATAAATTTCTTTTTAGTAATTGATTCATTATAGTTATTGATTTATCTAATCCTGGATCTATTTGTGTTATTATCTTTATAATAAAAATTTCAATAAGCTTTAAATATTTTATAATTATATATATAATAAATTAATTATTTATTTACTTTAAAAAATATATCAATACCTTCTTTAGATGCTGGATTAGTGATACAAATCAAAAATCGAAAAATTGATTAGTTGTCAACTAATCAATAAATCGAATGAAAAATTTTGAAAAAAACAACTAATCGATTGAAAACTTTTGTCAATTTATAATAAAATAATCAAC